CATGAATCAAATATGCACTTTTATTCATTTACAATAAACTCATAAAGTACATCATTCTGATTGAAGCTAAGGGCATACAAAACTGTCTAACAGTAAGATGTTTTTTTTTTCTGGCTGGTGGCCATTTTGCCCTTTTCATCTGTAGTTAGCTTTATGTCTTGAATAGATTTTCTTGTTGATGATGAAAGGAAATGAAAATGTAGGTGGTTGTACTATTTAGTGATAAAACTAATTTACATTCTATCATTTAGGGAATTGGAAACTATGATTGATGGATGAAATTTTGCATGGTCATTTTCAGGTTGGTACTACCTCTTCGACAGCAGTGGACCCATTGCTTGCATTGGGAAAGATTGCTAAAGTGAGTTGCATAACAGATATATAAGAAAATATCCAGGTGGTACAAAATATGAGTGTTGACACTACTAGTTGGGTTGTTTAAAGAAAGGCCTTCACTGGGGTCTTCTTTTGATTGGTAACCAGAATCTTTATTGATATATGAAAAAGGATATTTTGCAATGCAATGTGTGTCAAGCACCCCTTTTAAAGTACTATGAAGAACATTTTATAGTGCAATGTTATTGATCCTTACAACTACAAGTATAGACACACAACTTAGAGGATTTACTGTTATTACAACTTGACTTGATATTGTTGAGGACTTACTATTATTTGTTTATTTTATTTAATTAGCATGTTGGGCCTAAGGCCCATTAGTTGAGTGCCTTTTTTAAGTTTCTGATCTAAATTGACAGTAGCCGCCCTATTAAGGGCATATTGGACATTGTATACCTTTTCTTTTGGCTTCTCTTCTCATTCTCTTGTATTTATCTTCTTCTCTCACAAACCACTTTCTTCTTTCTCCTTTCTTTCTTGTTGTTTATTTTTCTGTATTCTACTTGGTATTGGAGCATCTTTTAGACCTTCTATTGGAGTTTTTTGTGCAGCCCTACATCAGGTAACTACATGGAGAGGCAAAAGGGCTGATCGATTGATCAAGGAAGGGCCAGTTCTTGGATTTTTTTGATGCGATTTTGTCATCAGGAGGGTGATCTGTGATTTGACATCAAAATCAGTAAGAACTGGATTTGGAGAAGTCCTAGTCAGAGTGGATGCTTTGTTTTTGACCAGGAGTTGGGTGCTCAGGGTTTTCTTGGTTTCTTGAGGCTTCATATAGGGGGAAATTCTGTTTTTGGTCTGTTTTAGAGCTTTTGGTGAGATCAACAACCTCATCTCCTGTTTCTATCTATTCTTGGGAAAGAAGAATTCTCTCTGGGTAAGTGTTATTTGTTCCCGGAAGTAGTTTTTGACTATCTAAGTAGGATCAATCTGATCCAAGGGGCATTTCCTTACTTTTTATTGTTATTTTGAGTTGTTTCAGACAATATGGAGGACAGTGATGTTGAATAGGTATTAACCAGTGACCTAGGTTTGGGTGTGGGAGGTCCAGTTATCCTTTGGGAACTAGAATTATTAGTACAATTAAATTAGATGGTACAAACTATCTAGAATGGGCACACTCAGCCAAGATGGCCAATGACGCACATGGGAAACTAGGATATGTTATTGGAGAGGAGAAGAAACCTGATACAAACTTCTCTTGGTGGGTGCAAATTACATGATGATGACTTGGTTGTGTAATTCTATGTTACCTCATATTAGTAAAAATTTCTTATAGGTTGATACTGCTAAGGAGATTTGGGATGGAGTAATTAAGACTTATTCCTAGAATCAAAATGTGGCCAAAGTTTACTAGTTAAGAAATTAGATAATTAATACAAGGCAAGGAGATAAAACTCTGGTAGTGTATTTCTCTACTCTGAAAACCCTTTAGTAGGAGATAGATCACTTGGAGACTATTATTTGGGAAAGTAGTAAGGATGTAGCTACATATCAGGAGTTGGTAGATAAGAATAGAGTTGCATTTTTGGTTGGGCTTAATCCTGAATTTGACATTGCAAGATAGCATATTCATTCCAAGTACAACTCTTTTTCAGGAATATGGGTCTGGAGAGGAAAGCAGAAGGAATATTATGATGAGATAGAAGACATTTTGGGATTGAAAAATTAGCTATGGTGAGTGCCATCAAACCCAAACCCAATGGAGACAAGGGTGGAAGTGAGATTAAACGAGAAGATAAGAAGGACTTGGCATGTGATGATAGTAAAAAACCTAAGCATACTAGAGACACATTCTAGAAACGCCATCCTCACCTTATACCAACTAGGGTTAGGAACAAAAAGGGAAATGCTAATATGGTAGTGCCTGGGGATTCATTAGGATCATTTACTCTAGTTTCTTTGGAGTCCATTGCAGCAGCTGCAGTCAAGACTGAAATGGAGAAGTATGAACAATTTATAATTTAGAAAGATACTGCTAGTTCCAATTCTTCACTAGTGGACAACAAGGTGTAGGAAGTTTAAGGGCCGCTCATACCAATTCCTTTGCTCATACTAGTAGTTCATATGCCATTGCAAATTATGCATCCATCTCAGGTAAGGAGGGACCTCCCTGGGTTATAAACTTAGGAGCATCTTAGCATATGACCAACGTATCTTCCATGTTTTCTTCATATCAATTGTGTTTTGGTAGAGATAATGTTTCTACAGTAGATGCTTCCCATGTCTCCATTGCTGGGAAGGGGTCGATTAGCGTGATTAATACCATTACTTTGCCCTCTGTTTTACATGTGCCCAGATTACACACTAATCTTTTATTTGCTAGTAGTTTGACAAAAAAATTGGACTGTTTAGTGACTTTCTTTCTTGGTCGTTGTGTTTTGTAGGATTTGGGGTCAAGGAGGATGATTGGGAGTGGTCATGAGGTGAATGGAGTCTACCTTCTTGATGCGCTCCCAAGTTACCAGTCATCATGTCAGCAGTAGGAGTAGTTGGTCAGAGTCAATGAGTCAGATTATGCCTTTGCATAATCAGTTAGGGAATTTATTCTTTGGTTCCTTACATTTTTTGTTTCCAAAGTTGTTTGAGTCTGTTATGTTGTCCAGTTTGGAGTCTGAAAGTTGTCAACTTGGAAATCATTGTAGACATTCTTTCAAATCAATAATAAAAGAAGTTCCTCAACTTTTGATATTATTCATTTAGATGTTTGGGGGCAATATCATATTTCTTCCATAGGTGGCTATCATTACTTTCTTTTATTTGTGGATGACTGCTCATGATACTCTTGGATATATTTGATGAGGTCTTGTAATGAGACATCCTCTTTGGTATGGCAATTCCATTAGATGGTTCTTACACAGTTTGGGGTGAGAACTAAGGCTTTAAGTTTAGATAATGCTAGGGAATATTTTGAGAAGGATGCCATAAGTGATTAACAACTAGATAAACTGCAGTAAGATGCAGAGGATGTGGTGTAGAAACAAAATGGCTTATGACTTGAACAGCATGCAACATATCCTGTCATGGCATGGTGTCATAAATAAGACTATCCCAAATTAGAAAAGCTCTATGCTTGATTTTTTTTTTGTTGGGTGAGAGAGGGGGTTTTATAACTATTCATTTCAAACATCATTATATCCCTCATCTATATTTCCCTGTATGAATATTATATAATTTTAAGTTTCCTTTTTCTCCCCAAAAGATGCAACTTTGCTGGATGCACTGAGAAAATACCCTGAAAAGCAAAGGACCTTACAAACCAGAGCTAAATCCCACCATTTTCTTCTGAGGGAATGGATATCTCTTCATGCTAGAAGAATAAATATTGGATTGGCACAAGTTCTGGAGATGGAAACTCTTAGTAACACTTAGTTGCCTGGTTTGTAATTCTTTATACGAAATAATTTTTATATTATTTATGCAGAACATTTTTGTCTTCAGCAAACAGTATTCAGATCATACTTCATTTGACCTATGACATCTGCCATATTCATTTTGAGATGTAGCTAATCTAACCGTATTCATTTTATTTTATGTCCAATAGGATAACAAAATGTGGTTTCACATTGATGCGGCATATGCTGGAAGTGCTTGTATATGTCCAGAATATCGCCACTATCTTAATGGTGTTGAAGAAGCAGATTCATTCAATATGAATGCACATAAGTGGCTCCTTACAAACTTTGACTGTTCGGTGCTTTGGGTTAAGGTATGTCATCGCTGATTATGTATCTGATAAATGTCTATAATTTTATTCTTAACTTTGAAATAAAAGTTTAAGTTTCACAACGATTTTCTGACATTGTGTTGTGTCTGATTATGCCTTCTCTAAAAATTGTATTTATTTATTTTGGTGATTTTAATATCACCATATGTAAAAAATTGTTTTACCTCTTACCTTGAATATTCTTGTTTTTTATAGCTTAAAGCTTCTGTAGTTTTCAAGTTTCTAATTATCTATTATGACCTGGGTGACCAAGTTCAAGTCTTGGAAACAGCCTCTGTATGTGCAGGGGTGAGGCTGCGTACATCTGTCCCTCCCCAGACCCCAAATTGGCGGGATCTTTGTGCACTGGGTTGCCCTTCTATTTGGTTGATGACTGTCATAGATTATACTCTTACCAAACTAATATGTTTCTTTAAGGCATAGGAATGGAAGCTTAACAAAAGTGGAAAAGGGAAAAAAATATACTGCGTGGAAGTCAAATGAATCCACTTCATATTCATTGATTTTTCTAGCAGATCCAGATATTCCATCAACAAACACAAGTTTGTGGAATATGCATCAAATCTAGACAGTGATTGATGCTTGACGACTGGTAGCAGATGGTGACAGTGAGGTTGCCTTAAAGTGAGTTGCGTGTGGCTCCTCTGCTGACTTGGATGGGCCAGCAAGCTCCATGGCTGCGCTCTCAGTGCTGGAATAAAGGTGAGTCAAGTGAGATGAAACAGAAGTTAGGGTCTATGTTTCATGAAAATGGTCACAACTTTATGGATGAAGTGGGGATTCAGGGTTGGCTGATCAGAAGCAGCTGCAGAGTTGTACAAGACAGAAAGGCAGCTTACATAGTGTCAGAATGTGTAAAGGATGAGGTGATAAGATAATACCTTGCCAGTGTTTGATGGGGACCCCCATTCTTGTTAAATGAGATAAAATCTAAGCGGCCAAAAAAATGGTAAAGCATTGGTACCACTGCAAGTTTAGAGGCTCATCAATGGTATGATACTAGTCTGCCTTCTGTCTGAACAAGAAGTGAGTCACAAGAATGGTATCAAGAACTGGTGGTAGATGGGTTCAAGCTTTGGACTGGAGCTGGTATCCCAAAGCTAATTGCATCATGGAGGATGGATGGCGAGTCAACACTTGTTGGGTTAAAGTGTTTGGCCTCCTTTTACATCTTTGGGACTTGATAGTGGATAAAACAATAGGGGAATACTATTGGCCTTCATAAGGGTGGATGGGAGGAAGGTTTTGAGTGGCTAAGTGTAGGGATTATGTAGAAAAGGTTCAGTTCCAATGAGGAATTGATAGGATGAACAAATGAGGAAATATTGGTCATATGGTCAAATGCCCCAAAGCCTATAAGGGATCCTTATTATCTGATTTGGAAGCATGGTTTGCAGTAGCTCAAGTACCAGTATGGGCGAAGGATGTAGCAGGTCCTCTACCAGATGGTCCAACATATTGGGATACTGCAGTTTAACTCCAAACACTATTCTCCAATTGGCTGAGGGATTGGCTATCCCTCTACCTTTGTTCTGGCTGGTGCCAGTGCCTCTAGGGATTATAAACCAGGGGCCAAAGGAAGAGAATCATTACGAAGAGAACAAATGCTCTTTGTAAATGGATTTATAACTTGCTTTAATACCAACTCGATTTATAAAACCAAGTAATACTTCAAAAACAGCAATAAGAGAAGAGAAGAGAAGAGGAACAAGAAATAAAAGAATAACAGAGAAGCAAGAAAAAGTGTATCTGACACCCCTTATCTATTTATATCAAAGATCAACTAGTCTACACTGACCATCATACACCTGGATGTCCATATTCAGAAAAATAATAAAAGAAAGATATACAGTTGCATAAATAAATAAAATCAGCTGTTATAAAGGCAGTAAATAAACAAGAATAAATGGTAAATAGGCTGAAGGCTAAACTCTCAACTGTAAGAAATGATTTAAGGGATCATAATTTAACAATGGATAAGGCACTGAATAGAATGAAATAGTGAAACGGGATTCATGTAGTGAACCCCATATAGTAAGGGAAAGGCTTAGATGACAATGATGATGAATTTAACAATGGATATGGCACTGAACAGAACAGAGTGGTGGAACAAGATTCAAGTATCTGCGACCTCTATGTTTGGGACTAAGGGCAACGACTGGCACTACATATATGACAAAGTTATTGCATAACCATTAATGCCTTGGGTAATTGGTTATGCAGAAATTTCTTTAAAACATAATAAATCCCATCAGACACATAAAAGTAAATGTGACTGTAATTTAGGGTTTTTTAACACCAGTCCTTGCATGGCATGGGTCCCTTAATAGAAATAAATTTGATTCCAAGGTGATGTTTTTAGCAGCTGTAATGATTGTAGAATTTTATATTTTATTCATTTGTATATGTTCAGAAAGCAATATGAATCACATTCCTCCATTCTGTTCTGTTCAGTACTATATCAAATGTTAAATTACAAATCTATTGATCCATAGCATTCTGGCTGACTTCTTAATTTCTTCTCTCTTTAATTTTTTACAAGGTCTAGAAGAATATGATGCATTATGTTCTTAGCAATATCCTCTTCAATAAATAATTAACTTGAAATTGCATCTCCAATTTTCTAATCCTACAAATAGTTGTACCATATTGCTGAGTTTCATGTCTTAGTTTAGCCACCAAATAGTTGAGGGTAATCTGCATGTCAACCAATGTGTAACATGTGAATTTCTTTTACTTCCTTTGTGTTTTCCTTTAGATGAAGTGTAAATCTAGTGGTAGTTTCTTAAAGTAATGGTAATTGCACAAGTTACTTTCTTCTCATGGTTCTAATTTGAAAGTGTGTTAACTTAATTTATTATATTACTTCCATCAACAGGATCGAAGTGCTTTGATTCAATCCCTTTCTACAAATCCAGAGTATCTAAAAAACAAGGTAATTTGTTCCTATCTTAGCTTGGAACTTTGATTTGTGTGGACTCTTCTGGAAACCATCTATCACAATTTTAGAACTTCGGTTGAACTCAAAATTTGGATTTACACCAAAACCCTACAACTAAGAATTTGTACCAAGTTACAATGTATGATCAAACTTCTGAAGTCTATGTGGTTCATGAAATCCAAGTTCGAAAAACCGAACTTATGTTGAAAAAGCTATTAATATTTTCAGTTACGTGGTTCACAAAATCCAACTATTCATTTGAATTGGATATTTTCAGGAGCTAAGTAATTAATAAGATTGTTAACCTGGTTGGTTTTGTGTTTATGTCAATGCGATTGACTTATCCAGGCCTCAGAAGGAAATATGGTTGTTGATTACAAAGATTGGCAAATTCCTCTAGGACGTCGGTTCAGGTTTGGTCTCTCCACCAATATGTTGTTGAGATTTTAATGACTTTGTGATACCATTTTTCCTAGTGTTCTAATGAAAACATAAGGTCATTACTTTTCAAGTTTTCAGTGTGTCGATGAACTATGCTATATGTTAAATCTCAGGGATTTCCTTTGGGTTCGGTGTTCCATTCTGTTGCTAGTTACAAAATTCAAAAATCAGATGAACTAAGTTATTTTGTCCATTTGTTGACAACCTGAACAACATAATGTCTGAACGAGTCATGATGGGATGAATGAGACTCCCCACAAGTTAACGATAGTGTAACATCATTAAGAAGAGACCATCATCTTTGCTAAATTTCAAGTTTATCTCCAAGGAAGTTTCAACTAATTTAGAGTTTATGAGGTGAGCAAGTTTAACCAAATTTGTAGCATACTTCTACCAATTAACAAAGTATCCATGAGAGTTATTATTCATCATAACACTAGGGACATCTCCCTTCGTTGATGCAGTAGGATGAAGAGTCATCTGATCCTCGAACTGAGGTCTGATAGTCTTTGTCCTAATCTTTCTTCCCTCTAGAATAGTTCCCCTTGGATGGTTGGGTGGGGCATTCAGTTATAAAATGCTCATGCTTCTTACAGTAAGTGCACATGTTCTTCTTCCTACAACAAGACACCACATGTCCAAATTGCTTGCACTCACAACACTGAACTTTGGATAAATCCTTCTTTGATTTGGACTTATCAGCTGCCATAAACAGTCCCCACCCCTTCATTCTTTGCATAAAGTAGACTGAGACACTGAGTAACCATTATAGTTTCCTTACGAAGAAGTTCCCCAAGTATAATATCAAGAGATAGTAAGCATCTGTACACAGAATATTTGACCTTATTACCTCATTCCGGTTGAAGATGCATTAGAAATGCATCACCTTTCTTCTGTCAAAGCGTTCTTTCAGAGCCTTAATACAATAGGCTGATGAAGTCTCTCCAGTGTGAACCAACTTGTACTCTATCCAAAGATTCATAAAGCCAGCATAATACTCCTGAATTTTTCTCTCACCCTAGCTATATGAGAAAATCTCTATCTCAATTTGATACTGCCGAGAGATTGGATTGCTAATAACCTTCTTATGTAATTATACATCTCCTTAGATGTCCTAAGACCTCTCATAGGAATATCTACGTCTGTAGTGACTGAGCTAAGAATCCAGGAAGCTATTTGAGCATTATTAATCTTCCAAGTCTGCAATGCCTTTGCATCAGCTTCATCTGGCTTGGCAGTTGTTCCATCAACCCCATAGACCCTTTCCTTCACCATAAAACTGAAAATGGAATTGCCGTTAGGGCAAAGTTAGTTCCGTCGAACCTTATAGGAAGGATATCACTCCTTTGAAAAGCTATCAGAAATAACGGAGCAAAGAAAACAAGCAACGAAAGTGCTATAAGTTGCTAAAGTCTTCTCAACAGTCCAGAAAAAGAAAGAATACAGGTATTCCAAACTGTAGAAGGGATCAGAACCCTAGCAAGACAAATCCAATCTTCACCACAAAATATAGGTTGAAGGAACAGCCTAGGGTGACACCAGATCGAAAGTTTCAGCCCAAACGGAACAGCCACTTCAGAGAAATAAGGAAAACACCCACCTGAATGGCATTTTTACCCAGAAAATTTGTTCTTGTTCTGATCTAAACAGCTCCAAAAAGATGCCAAAGACCAGTGGCAGTGCAGATAGGCAATCTAAAATCCCTATTTTATGCTTTAGTACAGAGGAAAAATAACCAAGATGAGTGGAAGAATGATTGGACTTACTCTGATACCATGTGAGTGCAGTTCAAACAAGAGGAAGAACACAATAAAAGAGTAGAAAAAACGTATACAAGATACTAAAGAAAGATAAAATTACAACTTTAACCTTCACTGTCTCTACATTTGCATCATTTCATGGCTTCTTAGGTCAATGATGCAAATTCTAGCTCAGTAATCAAACCTAAAAGATATAAGAGAAAGAAATGGGGCACCACTCAAAATATTCCATTCTTTCAATCTTTTCTGTTCTTTCTTAAACCCCTATCCTGCTTCTCTTCTATGGCAGATAATGGATACTTTTTTCAGCCCTAATTTATGTACATATAATTATGAATGTAAATGGAATATGACCGTCAAGCTTGTCATATATATGGCTATTTTTGTAGAGAATATATGGCTGATGAGGGCTATTATTTTCTTTTTAGTTTCTTTGTGTTTTGGGAGCATGATTGCATTCTATATCTTGTACACTAGATCATTACATGTATTTGTTTGTACATATTTTTTTTTTCATGAGAGGACAGAATGGTCCTTTCATCTTATTAATATAAACACTCTTTTCTGTGTAAGCCGGTAAGGTCATTAATTCCAGGCATACCTGTTCAGATATGGACTTTCTTGGGCTGACTCTGACTATTTTTGTCACATTCTGGTTTTTAAGAACTAAACTGACTACATTAACAATTATACAAGTTTCATGAAGAGGATTTCATTTCCTCTTAAGTAATTTCAGTCAAAGCAGAAACTTTTATTCCATTTCAAAGTTTCTCATAAAATTTCTTAATTTAGACTTATCAAATTGAAACTGCAAACCTGAGGAAGCATAATTATTTGCACTCAAATTATGGACCAGTTAATTGGTCATCAACCCAAAACCAAAACTGAAGATAGCCTCAAGTTGATTTTCATTTCCTCTTGGTTCATTTCTGAATGCTTTTATTTTGTATTATTGAAAGCTTATTTAATCCCTTGAACCTAAGATGATTTATTTGGAGACAGTTTGAGACTCATTCTCAAATATCAATGCAATAAGTAATATATGAGAACTTTGACAGGAATCCCTATTTTTAGTTAGTTGAGTTATTGCAATCACACTTCTAGTTGTTTATTTAACTTTAATATTTGTTAAAGTCCCTTTTATCTGTAATTAGTGTCTCTAATGGAGTTTGATGGTGATTTGAAGATTTGACACTTTACTTTGAATGAACGTTGGAGTCCAGGTGTTTCCTATTTTCAAGGAAAAGTAATTATAGACAAGAAAACAAGTATATGCCTCACCAACTAACATTTTGCCTATTAATGTTGTTTCAACTGATGTGGCAGATAATTCCATTGAATTGAAGAATTCTCTCCAAAGTTTAGGCTGTTTCCTGTTTTATTACTTTGTACTTAATGTTAATGGTGGGACTTCAGCAGGGCTTTATTCTAGTTTTGGTGACACCCTAATTCTAGCTTAAGAGAAAGGGGAGACTCCTATACTTATCCAAAACGATGGTTACTGTTATTTGTAGATTGTCTCATCAGTAAAAGAAGGGCAGCCCAGTACATGAGACTCCCGTCAATGTGGGGGAAGGACAGATGACACAGCCTTACCTCTGCACGTACAGAGGCTGTTTCCAAAAGAAACAACATTTCTTGTCATTATCTAATTCAAAGCAATCTTGCAGATCATTGAAGTTATGGATGATACTTTGTTGTCATTATCTAATGCAAAGCAATCTTGCAGATCATTGAAGTTATGGATGATGCTACGCCTATATGGTCAGGAAAATCTACTAAATTACCTACGAAACCATATAGAGCTGGCTAAATATTTTGAAGAACTTGTTTCTGTAGATCAAAGATTTGAGGTAATTACATTTTCATGTCAAAAGTTGATTTGTTGATTTATAATTTATTTGCAACTCCTTGGGGCATGCCACCTACCAGTATTTCTACTTCCGTTTTGAGTTTATGATTGCATGATTACATCTATATCCTTCTAAGTGGAAGCTCTGTTAACCTTTATATAGGAACATCATAAATGTAACCTCTGATGGCAGCATGACATCATAAATGTAATTAAATGAGCATAAAATATAAAAAATAAGGATTAGGTTATAAAGAAAAAGTGACATAAGAGCTGTATAGGTTGGCTGAAGTCATGGATAAAAGAAAAGAGTAATAAGTTGCAAAAAAAGGCAAAACCTGCAACTCTCATCCCTTATTATAGACCATTACTAGAATACAGCTACATCCTTGATAGATTGTTACTATTTGGGGGATAGGGATCTGAGGGCCATTGGCTTCTGCGACATCATATCAGAAAGGATAGATCTTTTCCATTCAGAGTGAACATCTTGTTTATATGGATTCCAATATTAGCTAATGAATGCTGGTGTGGTGCCCAAGGTGAGGTCACAATGTCAACGTCTCAAGCAGTTTGCTATTCTTTAATGGTGGTTTCCCCTAAATAGAAAGAAATCAAATAGCAATGAAGAATAAAGAAAGAAACCAGTAAAAGAAGGAAAAATGACAGATGCGACCCAAAACCACCTAGGGTGGGACATTTATTGATAAAAAAGCGTGGGACATTAAGTCTCACCACCTTCTCTCCTTCAAACAAATGTTGTAGAGCAAAATCAGGAAGTAAAATGCCTTTTTATAGCAAGAATGCAATTCATTTGTTCTTATCTTTTTCCTTTTCAACAAACTTTTAAACCCATTTCTGTCATTTTTGGCTTTGCTTGGACTGTACCACAAAATTTATATGACATTTTCTTCCCAGATGACCCCCTTAAAGACTGAATGGGGGAATTTATATGGTATTGCACAATATCAGCAACTCTCTGTAGCATATGGGATGAAAGAAAATGATAAAATCTTTAATAAAAAGAAGGATGGCAATACCCTTATTGAGCTCTTTTTTTTACTGTGTTTTAGTCAGCTTGGTGACTATTGGTCACTGGTCATTGTACTCTTATTCGGTTATTACAATTATTGTATACTTGTGTTATTATTATGTTTAATGACCACCTTTGATGTTGTTACTGATAAAAGAATGAAATTAATGAGATGACAAGAATCTGGAAATTCTCTTTTCCTTGTACAAGCATGCATCTTTAATTGACGAAACAGTGTTTTTTCCAAACCCTTTTCATGGATTTCCTACCATTTGTTACTATGTGCAGATTGTTGTGCCTCGGACATTTTCACTTGTTTGCTTCCGCCTTCTGCCCCCACAAGGTGATGAGGATTGCATCAATAAAATGAATCGTGACTTACTGGAGGTGGTAAACTCAACTGGAAAAATCTTCCTATCACATACAGTAAGTTTACTACCACCACAAATTTCTGCTTTCACCTGAGTCATGTTAGTATGATGTTTATGGGTAAGAGATGACTTCTTGGTTGGCCATGTTTAATCAGATTCTATCTGGGAAGTATATTCTACGCCTCGCAGTGGGAGCTCCATTGACAGAGGGAAGACACATAAGTGCAGCATGGAAAGTGTTGCAAGATGAGGCAACTACGTTGTTAGAGCAGTATATGAAGTGAGTATATCGTTCTTTGTTCTTTTTATTTCTTTTTCTTTTTCTCGTCACCTAATACTTTTTTACTTGTTGAAATCAATCATCTTTAAGTTATTATCTTGTAACATGAGTGTCTACTCTAGCTATATCATTTGTTCTGTTAGCTAATATGTCCATATCATACTCTTCATGAAATCTGAAAAATGCAATATTTCTTTGTCAAAAAAAAAGTTTTTAACAGTGTCGGGGCATAGGGGTGATTATGCCCTTTTATTTCTGTAGTAATAACTACATGACAGAGGACTGACTTCCCTAATCTGTTTGTGTCTTTGTTTTAAAATCCAACTGGAGGTCAACTCAGTTTTTGTCTGGGTGACGATTCACCAGTTCAACCATCTGGGATGAATGGATCAAACTGTCAAAGGAAACACCTTTAGATCCTTCAGATGGGAATATTAGGTTAAGTTGTATCTTTATGGAAGAAGGAAGAGGAGAGGGGGAGGGGAAAAGGCTTGCTGCAACTACTGACAATTGTAAACATCTATCTCTCTCTCTCTCTCTCTCTCTCCCACACACACAATCTTGTCTCTAACAGTCAAACTCCTTTCCTCTTGGGTATGTCTAATGATGACCATGCCCCAAAATGAGATTCATATATTAGTAATTCAAAAAGATGTGAAAGGATCATTATGCCCCTCTTGTACAAGTTGTTAGGTCGACTGTATAGGAGTAATTTAGTCTTTCTTTTATGTTTAAAGCTGATGTGTAATGTTTATGTTAAGTGATGTGTCCCATACTTAAGTAGGGACATAACCTGGCCAACTAGAGAGGGTGATCAAGCTCTCTAGTTCGAACCAGATTTTTCCCTTTCTTCTCTTTTCTCTTCTTCTCCTATTCTCTCTAGTATCCTTTCCAATATCTCTGCAATACTAATACTAACAGAATTCTAGTGCAGATCAGAACTTTATCATGGTATTAGAGCAACTGTGACAAAATCAGATCTGCCCAGAATTCTCTTTTTATCGCCATTCAGCCTAGGGTTTTTTAATTTTTCTTCAATATCTGTTGGAGATAGGGAAAGGGGCTGAAAAGGAGTGATCGCCCTTTACTCTTGGAGGTTTTCATGCCTTCAGTCAGTAGGTTGGTGGGTGTTTGCAGTGGTTTGTAGGAAGCCCCCCCAATCGATGGTGAGAAGAGAGCTGTTTCAGGTGGTGCTGTGGACAGTCGAGTGCAGGTTGGCTTTGTGGTGATTAAATAGGTGGGTTATGTGGGTATTTCAGTGGGGATCGAGTGGTTGGTGAGTTGCTAGTGTTATGGTGTGCATTCAGGTAGTTGTGTGGTAGTTTTGTGGTGTGGAGAGTGAAGAAATCAGTGACGGGTGTTTCTGAATTTGTGACTGTAGGTGGTTTTTACTAGTGTGCAGTGTGGTGAGAAGTGAATAAAAAAAAAGTCAGATATGGGAGACAACAGTGAAAACAAATCTAGTGTGATGGTTCCCACCGACTACCTGAATGTTCAGGTGACTTCTATCAAGTTGAATGAGGAGAACTATGTGCCTTCGGCGAAATCCGTAGAGGCCTTTCTTAGAGCTAAGAAGAAGGTGAAGCATGTAAGGGAAGAAAAACCCTCCACTGAGTCTCATGTGTATAGTGATTGGGAACAAGAAGATGCACAAATTATGACCTGGTTATGGAATAGTATGGAGCCCAAGATCAGTGTGAATTTCATGTTCATAAATACAACCAAGGAGATTTGGGACCATGCCAAGAAGCTGTATTCGGGACAAGACAACACTACTAGAGTGTATCAGCTTTATCAGGAGTACTTTAATCTGCAATAGGGTAATCAAAGTCTTGAGGAGTACTATGCTAGCATGAGGAACTTTCGTAATGAGTTGAATGTGTACCATCCCCTCACTTCTGATGTTAAAATTCAGCAACAACAGAGAGAACAACTATATGTGACCAGATTTTTAGTAGGGCTGAAATCTGAATATGAATCAGTGAGAGCACAAATACTAGGAGGGTCAGCCCTTTTGTCCCTAGAAAAGGTATTTTCCCGTCTTCGGAGGATCTCTATTGGGCCTATAGAGAATTCTAATATCTCTAATAGGTCTGCCTTTGCAGTGACGAGAGGGGGAGGACGTGGTGTTAGAGGTGGAGCTCGGGGAGTTCAATCTGGCCGTAGTGGTGGCAGTGGATCAGTGTATGGTCGTAGTGGTGGTGGTGGACGTATTGAAGGTCAAGATTCAGGGAGAGTTCGTGGTAGAGGACGTAGTAATGGTCCAAGGAAGTGTACACACTGTGGTATGGAAGGACATACCATCAACTTTTGTTATGATTTGTGTTGAGAATGGCTAGATGGGTGTTTTTGGTTTTTTTTCTCCTTTCTTATACTCTCAGTATTTGGGCACCCATATAGGGGCCTTCTTATAATTATTATTTTCTCAGATTATAATGTATTCTTTTGAGGGTGTGAACAGTGAAACACACACACACACACACCCCTCTCGATAGCTCTCTTCTTCCCTTTCTTCTTCTTCTCTTCTCTTCTCTTCTCTTCTCTTCTCTTCTCTTCTTCTTCTCTTCTCTTCTCTTCTCTTCTTCTTCTCTTCTCTTCTCTTCTCTTCTTCCTCTCTCTTGAAACCCTAGTTTCTGCAATTTGGTATCAGAGCGGGTAGAGAATATGGGAGTTGTTCTCTGCTGATCTCCTACCCAGAGTCGAACTGCTGACGTCATCCGGCGGCGGTCTGACGTCAGTAGTCCGTATAGGTGCCGACGGCAGTCTATGAAACCAGCACAGTTTGATTCGCCTTGATTTTAGAAAAATTTTGGTATGACTCTTGTCATCATATGAAGGTTCTATTATTTTTGGTGGATTTTTTAAGGAAAAAATTGCAAAAATTCCAAATCTGATGTCAAACCATGTACAACAGGTTTAATGATATTTTTTGCTGTAAAACCTAGACCATTTAGGTCGTTTTTCAATTTGGGATTGACGGGAAGTGGTCCCATATTTTTTTGAGCACTGTGTGATTTTTGGGAGATTTTTTTCTCCTTCTATTTTGCCGCCAACCTAGTTTTTTTGGGCTTCCTTTGGTTCTTAACCGTGTGGTAACCTGGTTTTTGGGTCTGGAACCTTGGTTAAAGTGTTGGGGGTCTTTTTTGGTTGGTGAAAAGGTGTCTTGTTAGAATATGGAATCATCTAAGGATTTTTAGATGGTTCCTGGCGTGCTCTCGAGAATTGTAGATATTTCCAGTGGTATGACAAGTACTGTTAAATTGGATGGAACTAATTTTTTAGAGTGGTCTTAGTCTGCTAAACTTACCATTACTGGGAGGGGTAAACTGGGATTCATCACAGAAAGGGAAGTGAAGCCGAGTCTTGAAGACCCGAAATTTGCAAGGTGGGAACAGGACAACTTCCTTGTTATGTCATGGCTGATTTGCTCAATGCAACCTCATATTGCCCGAAATTACATGCTTCTTCCATCTGCCAAGGATATCTGGGATAGGGTGGTTGCTACTTATTCCCAAGTTAACAATACTGCTAGAGTGTATCAACTTCGGAGGGAAGCTTGCAGTATGCGTCAAGAGGAGAGATATGTTGCTATGTATTTCTTTTCTCTACAGTTTATCTGGGAAGAAATGGATCACTTGAAATCTCTAGTTTGGAAGGACCTTGAAAATGGTGAGTAGTATTGGAAGTACATAGAGGAGAATAGAGTTTGATTTTTTGGCAGGCTTAAACCCAGAGTTTGATTTCACCAGGCAACACATTCTTAGTGCAGGTGTTGTTTCTCTTGCTACTTCTTACTCTCTTGTACAAGGGGAAGAAAGTCGAAGAACTGCCATGATGCAATCCTCTATGAGTGATCATTCTGCCTTTATGTCATCGCGACCCAAGCAAAATACTAGCAAACATCCCATTGCAGAGAAGGTCGAGGATGTTATTTGTGAGTACTACAAGAAGCCAAGACACACTAAAGAAAGGTGCTGGAAGCTTAATCCTCATCTAAAGCCGGAGAAGTACAAAACCGGGAAGAAGGGCAATGCTCACTTGGCTACAGTTGGTAATGATGCTCAGCCCTTGGATGTGCTTAACTCCTCTGATGTGATGGACAAACTTAGGAATATATTGTTGCAGTTAGAGAAGGGTGGTACATCCTTCTCATCTAGTTTTGGACTTAGTAATCTATCTAGTTCATATGCCAAGACAGGTACTGCACTTGTTTGTTCCACCTCTTTTAGCCCATGGATTGTAGACTCTGGGGCTAGTGCCCATATAACTAGTATGCCTTCACATTTTACCTCATATAGGTTAACCCTGGGGAAGGGCAAGATTATTGTTGCTGATGGATCTCAGACCCCAATCTCGAGTCAGGGTGAAGTCAGAATCACTAATAACCTTTTTCTTGATTCTGTTCTACATGTGCCCCAGCTACAAAAAAAATTTGTCTATTAGTTCTTTAACAAAATCCCACAATTGCTCAGTGACCTTTTTTTCCAACCATTGTGTTTTTCAGGACTTAAGCACGGGGAAGACGATTGGAAGTGGGCATGAAGTGGATGGATTCTACCTCCTGGATGGACCTTCAAAGCATGGATTGTCAAGCCAGACTAAGTCTTGTTCCAATGAGAAAATGAGTCTTTTGAAATTATGACATTGTCGCCTTGGTCATATGTTTGTCAATTCTATCAAGTTTTTGTTTCCAAACTTGTTTGATTCTGTGTCCAAATTGAATTTTGAATGTGAAATTTGTCATTTATCCAAACAATGTAGAAACACATATTTTGCAAGCAGTAAAAGAAGTAGTGTTGCTTTCCATTTGATCCATACTGATGTTTGGGGCCCATATGCTGTCCCCTGTATGGGGGGGTACAGGTATTTCATTCTCTTCATTGATGACTATAGTCGGTATACATGGCTTTATTTGATGAAAAGTAGAGATAAAGTTCCTATGATTGTTCAAAACTTCATGAATATGGTCGAGACACAATTTGAGAAAAGAGTTAAGATAA